GGTCAACGGAGGGTTGGGCATCATTGACCCATCGACGCAGGTCTAGGCGCTTAGCCTACGCTGGTTAAAGATCCTGACCTTTAACCCAAGCTCCCCCTGGCGCCAAGTTAAGCCTTCTCCTTCACTCTCCTCTTCTTTCTTCCCTAACTCCTCCTCCATAGCCATGCCCTTCGCCTACCTCGCTCTTGCCCAAACACCATAGCCAGGATGGGTGGGCACTCCACCTTGCTGCTGCTGCTTGGGGTTCACCTACCAAGCTTGCGGTCAAGCAACACTGCTGCATTGACACTGGAGGAATGAGGCAAGAGCAACACACCACCCCTCCTCATATACTTTGGCCACGACCTCCGTCCATGGTGACTTCCTAGGCGGCAAAGCCTCTGGGCCCTAATGGTTTGCCTTTGTTTTGGGATAATCGGTAGAAGGTGCCCATGCCAAAACTTTTTCGGTTTTGGCCGCCCAAAGTTTAGCCGTTTGGTACTATCGGCCCAATAACTTGCATGTGGGGTACTACAGGCTCACGCGTCGCTCCAAGGGCCCTACCGGATCACGAATCTGGCGCATAACAGCGGCAGATTCATTTTCATGTAAAAGAGGCCGGCAGTCACGATGGTACCGCTGAAGTGTTGAATGAGGCCCACGTACGCTATTTTAAAAAAGAAGGGATCTACTGGTTCATGATTCTGGCGCAAAAACAGCGCCAAATTCTTGAACCTGTAAAAACAGACCTAGGGAGATGTGGCCACGGCGCGAAGGCGGCTTTCACCCGGGGGAAAGTTGTTTGGGCTGGTAGTACCAAACGACCGAGTTTCGGGTGCCAAAAACCGGAAAGGTTTTGGCGTTGACTCTTTCTAACAATTATCCCCTTTGTTTTGGCAGGAGCCTGATTGCAGTCTGATATCCTACCTGCACGCTCTAGACACAGACTCTTTTGAGGCCAGTACCTTCTACTAGGCATCTAGAACCTACTCCTAGACCTACAGGCCTGAGGGCAGTACTGTGACGGCCCAACCTCACGCTCAGCGCGACTTCCTGATCGGGGTGGGATGGGGGCCCGGAAGTGTGAAAAGGGGTCTGCAAAGGATTTTAGGAAAGTGGGGGTGGAATCCTAGGTCGGAACTTTATCTCCTGTGGCAAGTTTCGGGGGTAAAAGTGCAAGAGGATATGGGCAGGTCGTACGTGGCGCTTTAAATTTCATAAAAAGGTAGGCCGCCTCTCGCGGTTTGCGAATAGGAGGAAAGTCGTAGATGTCATGCAGCATAAGGCGGATGGCACGTGTAGTGCATAGAGATCCGGGGGTACTTTTCGCAATCACAACACCGACATATCTAAACACTCTTGCATTCATAATAGAATCCGATGAACTTGCAAAAATCAAGGACGACAATCGTACCGAAAACAGGGAATGAGGGGGAACAACCAGATCATTCATCAAACTGTCATAGATGTGTCGTTCGTCAAAATTATACAGCTACAGAAAGTGGGAGGAGAGATACCATTATAAACAGGAAATCCGAGAAAATTCACAGAAAATCCTAAGTTGCCGCAACAAAATTGGTCAGTATTGGAACAAAATTTACACATAAGCTAAGGAGAAAAACATCATCCCAACCCGTTCTCTCTCTCTCTCTCTCTCTCTCTCTCTCTCTCTCTCTCTCTCTCTCTCTCTCTCTCTCTCTACTTCACCTGCGATGCGGGCAGTCCGTCGCCACGCACTAACATCGAGTCGTTACCCCGCTTAGCCCAAGCATGCTCTTCAGGTTCGCCCGTGCGCCACAGTCCGTCGTTGCCCGCACGTCAACCCTGCTTACTTAACACCAGCTCGTCAGATCATCCGACCCAATCTACTCACCTTCGAAGCTCACTCGTTAACCGATCCTCACTGACCGCGCTAACCTTCCAAAATTCATAGAGAGACAACTAATTGCACGTGCGGAATTTATAGCATGTGTGCTTGTGCGATGAACTCGGGATTACGCGTAGACAAAAAAAAGGAGGAAGTGCCTACGTCTGCATGTCCGGGCCGCGGCGCGAGGGACAGAGCCACTCTCCGCGCATCGATCCGGGCATGCAAACGTTGGAGCCAATCAGGAACAAGGAAGAAAGTGTGCACGCGCGGGTGAAGAGAAGGCGGGGAAAAGATCGAACACGAAAGACATCAAGAACAAGAAGATTATAGTTGCAATCACGCCCGCCAAAAATTACAGTTACGCGCAAGATTAAGGCACGGAAAAGCCCAGATCCTGCTGCGGCAAGACGTGCGTAAGCAAGAAGTGCCGCACAACAAAATTCAAAAGGTGCCTAAATTCCTAGCCTAAGTCCTAATTACAAATGGAAATTCCGAACGACAAAGGAAAAACGATAGAAATGATTCCGAGAGCCCGTGGGGGCTCGGCATCAGTTGAAATTTGAAAAAACAGCATTCCCACGAGCCGATCGCGCCAAAATTCCCAGTGCTTGCAGCAGAACAAGAAAGAAGCTATGGTACAGTTATTTCTCGCGCTCGCTAAGGCACGGTTACCCAACCGTTGGCGCAGGATTTTCCCGACACCGACCCGACAAGTTACAGCGAAAAACAAAGAAGAAACGAGGGCATCCATGCAACTAGCCCTTACGACCCGTCTCCACGCATCTTACCCGGCTAACCGCTCCCGTTCCCCCACAGCAGACCTTACGCAGAAAATTGCGCGGTTACAGAGAATAGTTTGTCACAGTACTTCAGCCTACCCATAGGTACTGCTTTCAGGAACATAATTGCAATCTGATATCCTACCTGCAGGTCATAGACCACCAATACCTTCATCAGCCATCGATGCCAAGCCTGAAATCACCCTGCGGGCCAAAAAAAATGAACTGGC